CACAATTCTTCCACGAAGACCACTTCTGGCCAGACTTCTCTGGACAGTAGATGGGTGTAGCTGGGTCCCACTCATTTCTGCCACTTCTGTGCTGATGGCACTGCTGGACATCTTCCGATGTTGAAGGGAAGTAAGCATGTTGTGTCTTTCATCTGCTGCATTAAGTTTCCTTGGCCAACCACTGCGTCTACGGTCCTCAGGGTTGCCTGTTTCTTTGTGCTTCTTCAAAAGAGCTTGAACAGCACATCTTGAAACCCCAGTCTGCTTTGACATCTCTCTGGGAGAGACCTTGCTGATGCATTAGAACTACCTTGTGTCTTGTTGCTGTGCTGAGTCTTGCCATGGTGTATGACCTGTGACATGAAACTATCTTCCACAACCTCACCTTAGTAGCAGAGTTTGGCTGTTCCTCACCCAGTTTTAAACCTCCCACACAGCTGTTTGTTTCAGTTAATGACTGTGTTTCAACCTACATATGAAATTGATCATTAGCACCTGCTTGGTATAAGTGGTTAATCATACACCTGACTCTAATCCTACAAGATCCCTGACTTTGTGCAAGTGTACAAAATGTGCAAGTGTAAGAAAAAAATTGACTCCATGGTTAATCATACACCTGACTCTAATCCTACAAGATCCCTGACTTTGTGCAAGTGTACAAAATGTGCAAGTGTAAGAAAAAAATTGACTCCATGGTTAATCATACACCTGACTCTAATCCTACAAGATCCCTGACTTTGTGCAAGTGTACAAAATGTGCAAGTGTAAGAAAAAAATTGACTCCATGAAGAAATGAACAAATTTCTCGACTAAATTGTGTAATGATACTATCCACATAATACCTATGAGTGGTATAGCCTAAGTTAATACATAGTCAACATAACAAAACAGAATAAAGTGCAAAACTGGTAATTAACTGTTATACAGCACTAATATATACTTTAGCTTGTTCAAATTGCATCAGAGATGGTCACAAGTTAGTACAGTAAAAGAAAAAGTTATCTCTGTATGGAGGACTTGATAGTACTTGTGTAAAAATATCAAGCATTAGTAACAAAGGTTTGATTAAAAATCAAATAAAGCATTGGTGTTTCTTTCCACTTTTAGAGTTTTGTGTCCTTTCAGTTTATTTTGTTTGCATCAATACTTTTAAGTTATTTCTTGATTATAACCTTGGACAGTACAAAAATACTTCTAAAATTAGTAACATCATAACATACTCCATTTTTAAACAGTAGCCTCCAGAATAATGGAATCAATAATATTCTTCCTGGTACGTATTTGTTTCTTTTAAAAATGCTTTAGCAGATTGCCATCTTGGACAACCCATGACAAATACTTTTAGTATCCTTTAAAAAGGATATATAGGGAGAGGAGGAACAGGTGGACAGGTAGGCAAGCAAGTTAGCTCCTGTTTGTATGCAATATTATTTCGGTTGGCACTCCCATTTTAATTAGTATTCTCAATCGCCTGATGTAAGCTGTACATCCTCAGCCAAAATGGAATCTGCAAGAGGATGATGTGACTGAGTTCATGCAAAAACTATGCAGGGACACATAACTTTGTTGATTCTCAAAGTGAAACTGTAATAAATTATTTTGTTCTGTGGACTGACAAGTACCCCAAACTTTACTATAAGACCCTCCAAGTTTTCTATGGACTGTACATTGTTTTACTGATTTTCTCACAATCTGATTGAAGATTGCACCAGACTTTTCTCTTTCTAGGCTGACAATATCAAGTGCAGAACTTTACGCAGGCTGATTTTGCTTCAGATTTGTACAGAGGCTCTGGATCCACAATCATATAACTATGTTCATGGCACAGGAATATGTTTTCAAAACCCCTGGACTACATTTCTTTCAGCATTGTTGGCACTGAGGGCTATAAAAGAAACATCACTGGAGGAATTGAAATGGAATTTGGGGAGCTTTTTATTTCTTCAGTTTAGGAGGAGTTACCATCTTGTTACCTTGGCTAGAAAATTGACTACATGACAAGAAAGCTCTTATGTGTAAAAACTGGCAATTGGGTTGCATAATTCCTCCTGCAGTGCCAATTATCTTTTGTGCTGTTTTGGTACACAACTGGGCAAAACATAAAATTAAAATAACCCACTGTGTGATCTGTGTGGGGTGGGAATGAAAAACCATTTGCCACATTTCTCCTTTCCCCTCCTTTTGATCATCCTCCTCTAATATCTTTCCAATATAGGGTTAGGAGTGAAATATTTTACATAGAAAAAAGACAAACAAAAGCAGGATCAGTAGACATCAACTGGTAATGGGAGGCATCTAACAAAATAAGCAGGGAAGAACCTCATCAGTTTCCTTTGGGCGTATGTGACAAGTTACAACTACTGGGGTTGCCCTTTTGTGAACAGGCAACTAGTGGTAACCTATGAGTACCTACAACATTCTAATGTGCCTAATGGTCCAAAAATATTGCCTATCCCAGTACAAAGAAGAAAAGTTAGCTACATCTATAAACCTTTCACAGTGGAGGCCTGCTGACCAATCAGTTCATTTCTCTGAAGTCTTACTATATTTCTCATAGTTTGAAAAATTGCATAGATAGAAGTTTGGAGTGCTTGGTGCTTGGTTGTTTGAGTGCAGACATTACATTACCCAACTAGGTAACATCATCAGTGTGAGCGAGCGTGGAGTTTTCTCCCTGTTTATATACAGTAGCTTGCCCTGCCAGTTTTGGTGGGGGTATAGTTTTCTCCTTGGTAGTTCCTTGATTAAGGCATTATTTTCTGCTTGATTGTTTGCCTGGTGTTAATTCCTGTTTATCTGGGTGCTGGCTGCTGGAGAGGACATATTCTGGTCTTTTTGTTTCCTTCTTAGCTTTTTTATTGTCTCTTTTGAATGGTGTGTAAATATGGTTTATTTCAATGTGTCTATTGATGGCTAATTTGTCTGAATGCCAAGCTTCCACGAATTCCCTAGCATTTCTGGATTTAGCTTGCTCTAAGATGCTCATAGTTTCCCAGTTGAAACTATGGTTGAGTCTGTCCATGTGTTGTGAGATTAAGTAGTTTTCATCATGTCTTCTGACTGCTAGTTGGATGTTCATAGCTGTACTCTGCTAATCTTCTGCATGTCTGTCCTACATAGTGGTTGTTACAGTCCTTACGCTGTATGTTGTAGATGACTCCTGTTTTTTCTTCTTGAGCTACTGGGTCTTTTGGTTTGCTTAAGGTGTTTTGGAAGGCTTTAATTGGTCTGTGTGCTACGGTGATACTGTGTGATTATATTGTTGGTTGTTTCCGAGATGTTTTTGATGTATGGTAACGTTATCCTTTTCATAGCTTGTATTGGTTGTGCTGCTTTGAGTGGTCAGGCACTTTTTGATAAAAGTTGTGTCAGTAACCATTTGTTGGAAGACATTGTATAGGTGGTCTGTTTCCTTTTTTCTGGTGTTCTGGATTGCTACAGTGCTTTTGTATTTGTCTGAATAATGTTCTAACACAGCTCCTCTTTTCAGAGATTGGGTTATTATAATGGAGCACTTGATTAGTGTGGATTTTTTTTTATAAAACCTTTGTTTCTAATTTGCCGTCATTTCCTCTGCTGATGAGGATATCCAGGAAGGGTAGTGTGTTGTTGTTTTCTTCTTCTCTTGTGAATTTTATTCCTTTGACGATGTTGTTGATAGTTTCATGTATCTTCTCTAGTTGTTCCTTTTTTATTATGATGGTGTCATCTACATACTGGATCCATACTTCGGATTGTAC